TTTTTTGTCGGTTTAAACAGACAAACAACGATATTTTTAAGGATTTATTTTTTATGGTCGTCTTTGTTTTAATTTCGTTTATCGCCGACACAACGCGATTTAATGTCCACCTTCGCTTGACACTAATGTGATGTATTTTTATCCATTTGAATTTCATCCGACCCATTATCAATTACCATAATGGTGTTTTAATTTTTAATTCTTCAAAACGATCGACAGAATTAATAGGTAAGTAAAAAAAAATAATAATGATTATATTTTTAACACAATACAATTATCTGGATTAAACAAAAAACACATTGAAATAAATAACAATGAAACCTCTGACTTTTGTTATGTGCACGACATACTAAATATCTCACAAACTAATTATTTTTAAATTAAGAATATTTTACTTAACACTTAGACTGGCTGATAACCAGTTTTAAACTACTATTTTTAAAGTTATAAGAGTTTAAATGTTAGGACGAAAGGGGAAAACAATAATACTACTCTACACCTTTTCTCCTGCCCTAACTTTGAAACTTCAATAACTTCAAAAATCCAATACTGGTTATCGACCAGTGATAATTCTTAGTACATTATTCTCAATTTAAAAAGATAATGAAACGTATGAGTTTACCATATTACCATTTAAGTACACCATTTAATGTACCATTTTTTCTGTGTTTACCATTTATATTTCAAAAGTGACTTAGAGCTTTTTTTGTCTTAATCATTTGGCTAACATTAGTGAAGTTGATACCTTTTTTATTTTTTACTGTATCTTTTTTTTTTTTTAGCTTTGAAGCTCAGAAAAGTTTATGAGGCAAGTATTTGATATCACTACTTAAGAGTTAAAATAAACAAATAATAAATCAAATGTTTTTCTCATAGAATTTTTTTTTTTTTAAGTTTTTTGTTGTCACCTTTCCGACAAGCCCATTCAGCACGTTAAAAAATAAATGAAAAAACATATTGTCTAAAGAAAAAAGATATAATTTTCCCACGTTTAAATCAAATGGACCAAATAGGTTTGAGTCATCAATAAATATTATCCGATCAAGTTAAAATTTCGACTTTCCAGTAAGTAGTTGTCGTGTAAGCCGATAAACATTTTTTTCGGGTTGGTCGTTGGTCTAATATATTGTATATTAGATATGTATGTATGTACATCGAGTGTTGCGAAATCATTTCCGGATGAAATCTGCGCTGTATACAAAACCAAAACACCTGTGCGGGTACTTGACACAGCTGTTTTACCACCGCGCAAACTGGGTTCACCTGTCCCGCGTGTATGTATTAAAAAAATAACGATAATTATATTACATTGTATGTGAATTGTTACACATCACTGCTATTATAGATATCTTATCCGAAGCCATCGGCGTTATTAATTTTACGCCTGATTTCATTTCAAATGCATTTAGCCGCCTTTTCACGTTGCGGCGCAAGAGCAACAACCAACCTTTAAAGCTCACGGTGAACAAAAATATAATGTAGTGGGGGGGGGAAAGGAAATTTCATTAATTAGGAAAACGAAAATGTAACTCTAACCCGATTCGTTCGTTTGGTATTTTTGTTTCCGTGTACTTGACGTGGCCAAAGAGTGTAATTTGTAAACTGATGTTGGAAAACGTCCAAACGCGCTCCGAAAGCACACTACACCAGCCTCGTAAATCTGCCTCTGTGTTTCACAAAACTAACGAATAATTAAATAAAGCCGTAACTAACTCTGTTACGTAAGTACCCGAAATTTAACGTCTGTCGCGTGCTAAATTATGTACATAGAACTATTTGAGGCATATTATTCCTTTCATTTAGACCTGTGAATTTATTAACGTTTATAATCTGGCGACAATACAGCCACCGACGAGGCGACTCTATTTGGACATAACGGCCAATTGCATTATGTTACGTGATTTTTGTTTCGTACCAAAAACCAATTTTTTTTTCAAGTCAAATTTTCGATTACAAAAAATTAGCATATTACCGTCGCTAAGCACTCGGTGACGTCGCCGACCGGTGGGTTTGATATTCGACGTTTCGGTTGTAGTTATTGACGTTTAAACGAGACCATTAATTGATATTTAACCAAGATATACAATGTAATGATATGTAATATATATGTAGGTATGCATAATTGAAAAAAAAAAAAAAAAAATATATATATATATATAGATATAATTAAATATATTAATGCTGTAAAAGCGGTGTTTCGAAAACTGGATGTACCACCCAAAATCTACACTTAAATCCGATGTGGGAAATTTTTATAAATTAACCGCGTAATGGATCTGATTTGGTGATTTTTTGTAAGTTATAAGTACCTAACATTCGAAGCAATACACCTATTCGGTATCTTTAATGGTTTTTAATATCTTTTCCCGTTTAAGGTGAACATCGAAGAATTCGTATTTACTTTATAATTGAATACCTATTTTAAACATACATTTTTTAGAGAAATTGTTTACAGAATGCTGCAGCACGGAAACTACAAAAAAAAAAAATAATAATAATATGAGAAAAATATTTGTTTAATTGACAAAATTGTTTATGAACTTAAAAAAACAGTTTTTATTACCTTCCTTCAGATACCTTCCAGTAGACTTTTCAGGAGAGTTTTTCACCGTTTTTCCAACGAGTTCACTCCTAATATTGTATCTTTAAAACTAAAAAAGATAAAATAAAAAATGTATCAATTTCACGTTAGATTAAAATGTTTTTTAGATTAAAAAAAAAGTGACTGCTATTTTTTTTTCTCGTAGGTACAAAAACCGCTTTACATTATAATGTTATATAACATTTCGAGGCCGGGACTTGATTTTACCAAAACTATGATTTTAATATAATAAACTAAAGTGTTAGTGTTACCTCAAACAAATTTACTATAACTTATAAGCTACTTGAAAATTGTCCTTAAACTATCAAACAATTGTTTCGGACTAGTTTAAAATTGTCCATTATTAATAATATTTTCTATATTATTTATTATTATATAAATGGTGAACTTACATAAAACGTTAGTTGCATGCATTTGAGCAAGATGAATATAGTTGCAAAATTCTCGTTTAGCAGTATCGACTTAACCTTATAATAATATGAGTTACCATCTATCTGTATTATTAATTAAACGCCGTTGACTTAAAAGCACTATATGTTGCAGCATCCTAACAAGTCCTCGGTAGTATAGTGGTAAGTATCCCCGCCTGTCACGCGGGAGACCGGGGTTCGATTCCCCGCCGGGGAGGAAATTTTTTGCATTTTTTCCCCCTTTTTTTTTTATTGTCTTACATCACTATCCATTAAGAATTATTATAATTGGTTCATCAAATTACATTTCACAGTGAACATTTCCTTTATCATCGATTTATATAATTCTGGTTTCTTTTACATAATATAGTTAGTAGGTACAATACATTTAATCGTGGGGAATATTTTTTTTTATAAGTTATATTAGAGAGAGGTCTGCATATTTTTGGTGAGCGTTCAAATACAAATAATTACAAATGTTTAGCTCTGGGGAATCCAATCTGCTTGTGTTTGAAAAATAATAAAGTTTTCGCAGAATTTCAATCATAAAATTCTCAGAACGAGTTGTTGTTGCATTAGAAAAACTATACTTATAAGTTATATTATTCTTGATACACACACATGTGTGTAGTATACACTGAACGTTTTTGATGAATATAAAAAATAACAACGTTTTTCAAATGTTGTCACAAAGTTTGTTCATATTTTTAAGATCATGTTTTGACAAGAAATTATAATGTTCAAATGTTTTACTGTTTAACCAATGTGATTAATTGTTACTATGTTCTAAATGTATTGTTTACATTTTACTAATATATTAGAAATATTACCATAATATTTCCTAAACAGGGTGATTTAATGTCTCTACTTAACTTTTCACAGACTTCATTATTTTTCTTATCCCTTTCCAATTGACTATTTGTTTATCAACTATTTTAACTTAAACGGAAAATTATATATTATTTTATCAAATTTTTAAATGAAGAATAATTTACTAAATATTTTGACTGGTGGAGAACTAGTTTTGAATGATTATTTTTAATGTCACGGTTGTCACATAAAAGCTATACTTGAAAACAACTGTGATTATGAAGTAAGTAAAAATTCTATTGGTATGGTTGTAACACTCACCCGGGTGGTGCTTTGTATTATGTTATTGTTGTGGGGGTGTCGCCAAACCACCGGTTGACTTCACAGGAGAATGGACCACCCAAGCAAATTTTTGTAAACATTATACATATACAATCGTACATTATGTGAACAATATGTTTTATGCGTCGATCGGTGGGTATACAAGCATAAATATTTTGACAATTTCATATTATTTGTGACAGACATAAACGAATTTAATGTTGCCAAGGAGACACGTACAAGCACAGTTGTGCATCGTTCGAATAAACTGTTATCTAAATAATCATCTAGATAGCACATTATCAAACTTAAGTGTCTTCAATAATTAAAACTATAAAATTGCAAATACGTTATGAGAAAATTGGTGTATTATTTATTTACGCTGATAATGCAGGTAGCACAGTAACAATGCAACACACTAATATTCAAAGTTATAATTTGTTTTGTGCTAAATCATTGGTTTAGGTACATTAAACATGGGATTATAACTTCTAAATTCCGATACGACATACATAAATAAAATATTTGTACATTAAATGACCTAAAATAGTTGTTGTAACACTATATTATTATGGATGTAGTGAATGTTGACCTTGTACAATAATTTATATCTATCGAGGTTTGGAAGGGGCTGATAAGAAAAACAAAACTTACAATCTGTATGTTATGTCAGTAGTTTATTAATTATAAATGTTATTTTTACAATTATTCACGTAAATTACCTTATATAGATAAATTTAATCATTTTATTTACTGTATTTGATTGATTTGATGTGTTGCCCTTCTTACACTTTATTTTCATCCACCATTATTTCAGAGTACAATGTGTTGATATGAACACAGTTAATAGTGCATATGTTAAAAGTGGCTAAGCCTGAATCTTAAAATTTCGTTTAGTATTCTTACTCCCATGGTCTTACAATATCCACAACCAAAATTGTACAACCGACGATCATTCCATTTTTATCAGTGTAGTATAGTCGAGTTTTATAAGTTCCGTATATGAACTCTTTAGGGATATGATAGTTGTTCACGTCTGATAAATCATATCGCATAATGTACTCACCCTGTAAAATAAATATTATTAATTAAAATAACTAGTGGTTGAACTGATTTGGATTCAGTAAAAAACTTATTTGATACATCTATTTAAACTATCTCTTCGTCTGTCGTTGGTACATAGGTTATTCTAAGTTATAAAATTAAAATAGGTCTTGATAATTATTTTGTTACATACTTTGTCTAGTGGACACTGTTGAGTTGCACTCATATTCCAACTTCTCATATAAGTAGACCAGGACGGTCCCAAAAATGTTTTTAAAGTTGTGCAAGCGTGTTGAGCACTGTAATCGAATGCGTGGTCTATCCATCCTCCGATTTTACTAAGTACTGCCATATTAAAATTTAACTGTAATTTGTAATTTTAAATAAATAAATAAAATTAGTCATAAACTCTTACACACGGGAATAGTAGACACTTTTGATTAAATTTGCTTTTTTAGGGTTGGAGTTTATGATTAGATGTTTAAGTCTAAGAATTAAGCTGAAGGTAGCCTCATAGTGGCGCAGTAACTTATACATTTCTTTAATATTTTTTTTTATAAACGGTAACCTCCGAAAAATAGGTCACTTAGTACCTATGTTTTTAATATAATAGATATTTGACATTTTTTTCTTAACCGACAAATAAGTGATACATTTATAGGTTTCTATTACGTTTCAGTTAACATTCATCTGGTGTCTTAAAAATATTTGTGTTGTGTGGTTGATTTGCCTATCAATAACAACGCAACTATTTATTTGGATAAATAGCCTTTCCACCTATATCGTTTACACCCAAGTAATAAAAGTATAATTGCCACCCTAAGAACATAACGCTTAGCTACAGCAGAGAACACTTCGACTTCATTGTTTTCAAAGAGTTACAATTTTAATTAAAATAATAAAAAAAATTATCTAGTATTTTAATTAAATATAGTACTAAACCCTACAAATATTTTTAAAAGGATGCTAAAGCGCAAAAATGCAGTGCTACCGAATTATATTTCATCTTACTCAATTAGAATTTCAATAATCGTGCTGTGTGCAGTAATATTTTATTCTAGTAAAATACACCTAACTTAATGTATATTTTATCTAGAGATTCACATGGACCATACCACAAATAAAGACCAAAACATCATATCATATGGAGTATTAAGTAAACTATTTTCAACGACATACTTACATTTAAGGAATCGTCAAAGGGTATTTTCAATGAGATATTTCCTCTCATTTCCACTCGGGTTTGAGAAACTTTATGCTGATGAATATTCAAGCGTATCAAATAGTCGACTTTTTCATCGCAAATAAAAACAGCTTTGAATTTTATTCGGTATGGACCCTAAAATTTATTTTATTGTTGTTAAATAATGAAACAATATTTTATATATTTAATTACAAGTTTACATCCGAATACACTTACTACTGGCAAATTTGGTCGTAAAACTCTCTGCATGGTAAAGCAATGGAAATTTGGTATTAACAACAATAACCATAGTATAACAAAACGAGGAATATTCATTTCTACTGTAACGGACAACCAGGCTTAAACAGAAACAAGGTAGGAAAGTAAATACTTACTACTTATATAGAGTTATTTTGCCCTCAGTTTACAGGAAATCTATACAACTCTAAAATTTTTTTTACATAATTCGAATGTTACAAAAAAACAGTTTTATAGTTAAAAACAATAGAAATTAAAAAAAAAAAATTGAATTACATTTTTTAACATCAAAATTGTTGTACTGTTATTTATTAATACAATAAGACGTCGACCCTGGATATAATAATTTATATCCTATAATTTTATTGAAGTTAATAGTACGTACAGTTGAATTGTTTTGTTACAGCATCATTTTTATTATATTATTTAAGAAGGCAAAAAAATTGTAGCATAAAATATTTTGAATCCAAAATTAATAATTTTAATAATATTAATATACTACGATTGGCGGAGCAGGTAGTAGGGTCGGCTGTTTGTATTTAACTGTGTAATTAATTGTGTAGTAATTCCAGCAGAAAATAATAATAATTTTTTCGTTTCTCACATCTTGTTCATCGTAAATAAATTTTTATTGATTTCCAATTTGACATCATTTTTCAATTTTTCTCACCCAAAAAAACCTTAATTGAAGACCAGTTAAAACTTAAATCTTAAGTGCTCAAAACTTACTAGGATCACTTTAAAAAAATGTCCATAAAACATTGCCATGATTTGATAAATTTATACTGGTTTATGCTGTGTTTGGTTTGGACTACACTGTTTGAAATTACTAAATACTAGTTCCCATGCGTTTATTTGAAAGTTATTTTATCGCTTACAGCTGTAATAATTTCTGTAAACCAGTGACCTCACCAACCCCCCTGTACTGGCTTTTTTACATTTGTATATTATTAAATAATTGGATGATGTATTACATTTTAAATCATCTGCTGTACCGATATTAGACATGGAATTCATTAATGACTTAAATATTGAACGAATTTAAGTATTTTATATTATGATCAGATTATTTTTAGTTATTTCTATCTATTAAGTCACATAACGACGTTATCGAAATTATAATTATTCTCCTCTTGTCTTAACTCTTAAAATCTAATTTTACATAAAAAAAACGAGTAATATAAATTTTTTTGTTTTGCAACATACAACCAGCTTATAACACAAATAAATTTCGATCCTGGATGTATAATAATTTATTTTCTTTTATTTGATAAGAGTTGATGAGATGAACAGTTACACTTTTTGTTACAACATCATCGTTACTATATTTTACAAGATTAAATTGACAAGTTAAAATTGTGAAACTATAATTAATATTTATTACATGATTATAACATTTTGACTGGTCGATAACCAGATTTAGATGTTACTAAAGTTAAAGGGTATGATGGGGAGGTGGAATGCGGTAGTAAGCGTGTATTAGTAAGTAATTTTACTTAGATACTAACAGTTATAAGTAATTATTACTTTTAGAGTAATTAATCTTAAAATGTTTGATAATAAAATGGCTATCAAAAAAAAAAAAAAAAATATTTAAGTGCAACAAAAAACGTGGAGCTTATAGCGCAAATAAGTATAAATTAATTTAAAAAAAAAAAATTGTTAAAAATATTCACTAGAACAAAAATGATTTTATTTGTCCAGGCGTTGTGGGACACCCAGTATATTAAACTAATTTTTTGGGATTCAGAATTGTGTAAGTAATAAGATTACACAAATGCTTGTGTACTTACAATGATGCTTGGGTACTAATACACAAAAATGTCTCGTGTCTCTTGCTTTAACCACAAAATATCGCATTGACTCGCGTATTGTCTACATAATATATATTATAAATGGTACCTATTACGGTCGTTTATTCAAATTCGTACCACCGGAACGGCAATAGACATAATAAATAATTTGCTAACCGCAATTTGATGGGATATAAAGACATTGTCCGTCGGAGACAACGCAGTAATTGTGCCTGCGGCTTATTAGTCGCCGGCATGAAGACAACGACAATGTTCCCAAAGACAGTGATGATGTCTTAATATTATTTACCGGTTTATGCTGTGTTTTCGTACTTGAGCAGTATAATAATATTGTTACGGTCGTGTGCGTTGTAATCGACATTGATCGAGTCATTCGAATCAATCCCCGTTTTGGATTTAAATATTACAACCGAATCCGGTTGCATTTAAGAAATCGCGATAAATCACTTGGGTATACAGTAAATGTATACGTTACTCTATAGGTATTAAAAGTCGGTAGAGCTATTGAAAACAACAAAAGTAAAAAAAAATTCATATTGCAGAGTAAACAATTGCATGGTCATGGACCAGACATAAAGATCACAAATGAACAGGACTTCAACGTTAGGGTTAGGTTAGGTAAATTTAACCTAACCAACAAAACGCATATTATTTTATACTATATATTTAAGATCGTACGGTAACTTTGTATTGGCTAATATCCGAGAGTAAAATACGTACGAGATAAAACGTTATTCGAATAATCATTTCGCAATTTATTCAAATAGTTTTTTCACAAGAATATATCATTCAAATAATTGTTTTGAAAATGTTCCGAATAAAAAATTGTCTTCCTATATTTACTGGTTTAATATTATATTTTCTAAATATAGAATGTATTAGACTTGTACGAAATACTATTTTCAAATACCTATAATTAAACGAAAATAGCACTTACAAACTATTTTAATAATATTTTTAAAAATGTTTCGTATAATTTTTTATTCATATAATATTTTATTCAATACATTTTTTCTAAAATTATTCGAATAAATTTTACTTGAACAATGTGATATCTAGATGATTATTTAGATAACGTTTTATTCGAACGATGCACAACTCTGCGCCTATACGTGTGTCCTTGACAACATTAAATTCGTTTATGTCTGTCACAAATAATATGAAATTGTCAAAATATTTATGCTTGTATACCCACCGATCGACGCATAAAACATATTGTTCACATAATGTGCGATTGTATATGTATAATGTTTACAAAAATTTGCTTGGGTGGTCCATTCTCCTGTGAAGTCAACCGGTGGTTTGGCGACACCTCCACAACAATAACATAATACAAAGCACCACCCGGGTGAGTGTTACAACTATACCATTAGAATTTTTACTTACTTCATAATCACAGTTATTTTCAAGTATAGCTTTTATTAGGGTTTCATCAGTAATTGAATTTTTATTTTTCCAACTGTTTTTATACAATGTTATCTCGATTCTTACAATCCTTTATGTTTTCACGGCCTTACCCCAGTAAATTACTTACTTTTATGTCAACTTTAGAAACTTAACTTGATAACAATATTTTTTATTATGTTTATATTTAATTATTTTATTTGTACCCATTTATTTTTTAAAAAACGTTTTTCTTGTGAACATTTTCCCGTCATTATTATTAAAAATATTTGTTAGGTATCAAAATTAAAATTTAATATGTATCAATGTATTATTGTTACTGTACTATCTGCATTTTGAGCGTAAATTAATAAGACGCAAATTTTCGTCGTAAATATAGAATAGTTTGCTGACAAATTTGACTGGTTTAACCATTAAAACCAGTTTTAGATAAATATTTTTAACGTTATGATGGCAGGTGGAGTGCGGTAGAGTAATGCACTCAGATAAGAATAATACAATACTCCAGTCTTCCTTCCGTCCAAGATATTAAACTTGGAGAACTAGTAAGAAAGTATTAAATTGAGGTGCTAAATTTTTAAATAAGCATCCAAGCTTTTATTTGAAAGTGATTTTATTCAATTTTATCACTTTTATTTATAATAATTCCTGTAGACCTGTGACCTCTCCGTCCCCTAGTTGCTTTGATCCCGTTATGCCTATACT